GGCTGCCCCTGGAGGGCGGCGCGGCAGGGTCCCCCATCCCTGCCGGGGCGCAGCAGCTCTAGCCCTGTTCTGCCCATCGGCATGGTCACCAGCAGGGACAGCTGGGCACAGGGGGGCTCCCGGGGTCAGGGCATAGGGAGGAAGCTGGCAGGAGGGGGATGGAGGAAGGCACTGAGTCTGGCTGTGCCCCAGCACCCAGGACTCTGGCATGGCCCTTGGGAGCCAAACTCGTCCCAGCTGTGGCCCTGGTGTGCCCTGCCCCACGACAAGGGCACAGCAGGAGGCTACTGGGACAGGATGTCCTCTGGCACAGCCTGCAACCCTTCAGAGGGACCCCCCCCAGTCCTGCAGAGGGGTCCCCTATCCCTGCCAGTGTCCCATTGGGGCAGGGCCCCTCCAACCTGTGTGTGCCGTGAGGTCTCTGCCGTGGGGCTGGCGCTGGCGTCCTCCCGGGGCCGGGGCTGGCGCAGTCTGGACCTAGTGCAGCTCCGGCTCCTGGGGAGGAACAGGAAACCCGGTGCTGACCATAAAGCCATTGCGAGATTTCCTGCCCTTCCTCCCCTCCCTGCCAGTCCCCACGCTCGGGGCCAATGTCGGCACCCGGCTCCGCCGCCCCTGGGCAGCCCTCAGCCCCGCTGGCCCTGCAGCTGCCTCACACCGAGGCCTGGTACCACCAGGATCCTCTTCACCCCAGCTATGTCCTGCTGCCCAACCCCACAGGGGTTTCACCCAGCAGAGCCCCTTCAGCTGTGCCTGGTCCTGCCTGTCCCCCAGCTCTCTGCATCCCTGAGAGGCTGCGGGAGCTGGGGGGGAGACTGGGGGCCCCCCAGACTCTGAGCAGCCCCGCTGAAGGGGCCCATGCTGCGCCCCTGTCCTGTGCCCCTGAGGGTCACAGTCCCCTGCGGGACACAGCTGAGCTGATTCCACTTGTAGAGGAAGTTGAGGGAAAAAGTGTGTCAGATGGGAGTGCTGCTGACTCGCCTTCCCACAGCTGAGCAATGCTCGGGTGGTCACACTGAGGAGCAGCACAATGGCACAGCACGGCCAGGGCTTGCCATGGCACTCTGCTGTCCCTGTGCACCCACCTGGAGCACTCAGTGCTGCTGATGCTCCCTGGGAAATGGAGATTTTCACAGCCAGTGTGAAGATGTGAGCAGCTCTGCCAGCACCAGAGCTGCAGCTGCCCCAGCCTGGGGGTCCCAGCAGCCCCATGCCCCCCAGCTCCAGAGATACTCACGGCATTGACACACACTTGGCAAGAGTTTTGCATGCCAGGCTGAGGGGCTCCTCCTCTGCACCCCCAGCACCTCCAGGCAAAGCAGGAACCTGCCTGCTCTGGGCTGCACCAGGGACACCAGGAATGGCTGGTAGGAGCCATCTGAGCCTGGGCGCCTGTACCCGCACTGTGCCAGGCTGGTCAGGGCTATGCTGCAAGGCTTTGCATGTGATGTGAACACAGAAGGTCCCTTTCACTGGAAGCCCCAACAGTTGCTGGCAGGAGGAAGGTTACCCTGGTCACACCACAACTTACCCAGTTTCAGATCCTCCATCCTCACTTGGCAGCTGGCACAGCCCAGTGGGTCTGTGGCCCTGCCTGCTCCCCAGCTGCAGCCTGGCCGTGCCACCCACAGGTCCCAGATCATGAGCTGCCAGCTCAGACCTACAGATCCTCAGCCGAGGGGCAGCAGGGACTTGTCCCCATCCCAGCCTCAAAAGAAAGTTAAGAGATGACTGAGATGCTCACATGGTTGCCTGCACGCTCAGGGAACTTGACTCTAGCCACAGGAAACCACTATGGGCACAGTGCAGTGAGAGCGAGGAGCTCTGCAGACAGGAGCTGCCTCTGTGGGCTCCACAGACCCTCTGAATGGGACCAGAACCCTGAGGGGTGGCTCAGGTGGGATCTGCTCGGGTTCGACTATGGCACATGGTGGTCCCAATCCAGCCCCAGGTCCAGCTCCAGCTGCAGGGGGAGGAGGACAGTGGGGCTGGAGGTGGGAAGTTCAGCTGGTTCTGGTCCCCAGCACATCCCAGCTGGGGCCGGCCAGGGCAGACAGAGCACAGGCAGCAGAGCTGGTTTGCATAGTTCTGAACATTTAATAACTCAGTCTCTCTAGCGTTATATCCACATCCATTAAATTAAAAACAGGCTCAGGAGGCAGCTCCTGGCTGATTAAATTACAAGAAAAAATTACTGTGCACCAAAAAGTTATTATAGAAAAATAGTCCTGTGGCCCCCAGCCGGTGGCTCCGTCCGCAGGCCAGGGCCGGCTCTGGCACGGGGCAGGTGGGGGCCGGTGCCACAGCCCCGTTGTGCGGC